TTTTTTTTAATAATTTAGGTTTTTTAGATTTATTATTGTTGAGGGATGAATTTGTATTGCTTTGAAATTGACAACGTGTGCATCTCCACATTAGCAAAGGGCCACATGATCTATTTTCCACATCAGACATACAATTTCTATTTTTTGTTAATTATTGCAACAAAGTTACCATCACCAAGAGTGGCGTTCATCAAGTTTGTTGGAAATATTGCAGGTGTAACTAGCATCAGCATCTATTTCTATATACATGACTAGACATGACCATATCTATTTCTATAACATGGTTGGGCATTTTTAATAATCATGTCCTCCACAGCAATATTCATTGCTACATCTTTTTGGCTCCCATCCATGGATAATGGGTTATATCTACACAACTCCCAATGATGGACAAAGGGCCAAATTTGCTATTTTATTTAGCCTCTAGCAATGGGCAAAAGGCTACACATCTCTACATATTTCATTAAATCGACTCTCGGCAACAGACAAAGGGTCAGATTGCTACATACTTCATCTCATCAACTCTCGAAAACAAACAAAGAGTTAGTGCAACTCGGTACAATTAGTGTGAGGCTAGTAACAAATGCAACCCTGCGATTGGACAAGATGACTACCCTCCAACGATAAAAATCCATCAAGCAGCAACCGGTGGTCCCTTAGTGGTCGCTAGTGCATGGTGGTGTGGTGCCTGGTGGGCAACAACAGCCAAAAGCATCCTCTAACGGTGTGGTATGGCAAGAAGGGCCAATGATTGTCAGTGGTATCACACCTTGCCGTATCGAAGGCCATGGATCTGGCTAGTGTCCCTATTCATGGAGACAACTCCACCTCTCTCTGTCACATATTCATTGCTATGGCAGAATCTAGCTTGGTGAAATTTACCCCTTCACAACTTGACAAATTAGTGGGAGTGCTCTTTTGATTCCATATAATTGACGCTCCACCCATGAGCAAAGCTGGCCACTGTTGCTCCTCTAGTTATGAGTAAGCCATTCACGGCTGACCCTACGATACTTACATGGCTGGCGGCCATGCTCATCATTATTCTTTCACACAAAGGGATAAAATTACCGGTTGTCAGTAATTCTGACTCATAACATATTTCTTCTATGTTTTATGTGTTAGTAGGTATCGTCGACCAACTATGCTTGGCTCGGGACAACAATATCACAACACACATCCATATAGCTCATTCTTTATCTTGGCACAATGCCATCCACATACAGCAACATTATACAAGAACTTGCCATGGTTAGTAAACAAAAGGGTGCAACAAACATTCATCCACATCGTCCCCTTTAAAACACAAGGGAGTAGCCCTCTTCGTTGCACATATCCATACATTTTACACTTAAATATTTGAATATATACTCATTTGTATCTTGCTTTCATTGCAGATAAACAGAAGCCCATGGATCCAAACTCAAGGAAATTACTCGGGATAAATTATAAGAGTAATGGCTTGGCAGGCATGGATGGCTGAATGCTACCCATTTGGCAAAGCAAGGTATTCATGCTAGCAAAGCTTGGTGCCAATGATGTTGCTCAACTTCACCAAAAAGGACTAGGTGACAAAGACATGGAAAAGAACCTAATCCCCAAAATCGTACCATTTAATGTTAACTAGAAGCTCAAAATCCAATTGAAAAATAACCAAAGATGTTGTTTTAGTCTCCATCAATAAGTTGCAGCTGTATTTAATGCAAAGGTGACTGCACAAGTTACGTTGTGTTGGGAACTGCTGAAAAAGATTACATTCTGCTTGGGGAATCTTCCAAAATCTTGGGCAAATTTTATATTTGCCGACTGCACTCAAGTACCCTCCCAAAGATAGAATTTCATATGGTTGGAAGAATTACCAAAAATGGGCAATTTCCAGTCCTTCGCTGGAGCCAATGGAGCTTTGTTGGAGCCAACAGAGCTTCGTTAGAACCAACAGAGCTTCGTTAGAACCAACAGAGCTTCGTTAGAACCATTCGGTAATTCATAATATCACTATTAAAAGGCTATCAATAGTGCCTAGAGCCATTAAAAGCTTGACAACTCACCCAAATCTACCCATTAGGCCACCGTACATCTCTGAACCATCAACCCAAAAATTACAAAAATGCCATTATGTATATATATTGTTTTTCTTTCATTTTTTAAACATACCAAAACAGATTTTCACAACTTCAGCTCCTCTTTCACGCACCAAACCTCCCTTCTTGCCCTAAAAAATACTTCATCCTCAACCATTCACTCTACATGCGAAAATCACCCAAAAATCACCATTTTCCTCATATTTTCTATACTTCCAATATTGCAAAATATTCTACAGACTTGTAGAACATCATGGCTGGGAGACAACATAATGTAGTTTCAGCTTCTAGGTGACTTTTCTTGAGCATCAATGGATTAGGTTGCAAAGTTAGCTTCAAAAGGGGAATCAAGCCATTTCACCCACAAGCCCCTAAATGGTCATCCTTTATTTTCCCATCACTACTTTCAACTTTATTCTTGTTGTTCTTGAGAAAGCTTCAAAGAAGGGATTGTTGTAGTTTTCACTTGCATCATGAGCGTTGTTCGTTATAGAGTGGGAGTATTTGCAAGAACTAATAGAAGGCACATTTAATATCATTATTATTATGTTGCAATATTTTATGTATAAATGTGTTTCTCAAATTGTGATTCTTAATCTTCATGTATTTACTAACCTTGATGCTCCAACCACAATGTATATTTTCTTTTCATACTTTTTGATAGTTGTGTAATCATTCTCAGCTCTTAGAACTTCATCATCATTGCTCATCTCTCCTTTTCATGGCTTGACTAGAAAATTTATACTTTCAGACTTTGCTAGAGAGTTTGCTGCTAGGCATGATTGCTAGATAGAGCGACACAACCCGTAGCACATCGCCTTTTGCACATGAAACGGGTGCCACCAAAAGGACCCTCATTTTTAATGGGTGGCATCTTAGTCAACCTCCACATCATCACCGTTGTTGACTCATCAACCTACATCACCAACACACCCCAACAATTGTAATTATTAAAATATAAAAATTATGATGTAATTAAATTATATGAAGTTGAGCTTTAATAAATAATTTTATAATTATATAAAATATTAAGTGTTTTCTTTAAAACCCACAACTAAAAAGCTCCAAAATGAGGCTTTTAGCTTTATATAAAAAATTACTGTAGGTTTGTTATGGCTTTCTGTAGCTTTTAGAAGAAACAATCTGAAAAAAATTACCAAACACACATATATCTAAAAGCACTATATAACTATATGAAAAAGCTTTCAACTGCAATCCTAAATGCACCCTTAATATTTAATGTAATTACAAAATTTTCCATTAAAACCCAACTTCATATTATTTAATTATATCATAATTTATAATATTTTAATAATGACAACAAATCTAAAAAACCTAAATTATTAAAAAATAGTAAATGTTATAGATTTTAATAATTATATATCTTACAATATTTTCTAAATTTTAATTAATAATTAATAAAACTTATCATATTTCATTTATCATATTTTTAATAAATAAATAACCAAACATCAAAAATAACTTTTAACTACAATTATAATATAGCACAATTCAGTACAATCACAACCGCAGCCACAACTATAGCCATAGTATTTTATAACAATCCCAAATGCACCCTTAGTTTTCAAAATAGCTTTTAATAGTCAAGTTTGATCCTTCAAATTTTGAAAAAAAAAAAGTATCTCCTTTCTAACCAGGAGAAAACAAGGGAAAGGGAAGTGAAAGACAATGCAAGGAGAACAAGATTCTGAAAAAGATTCAAAAGTTCTAATTGATAACTCAAGAGTTGCCTTGGTGTTTCATGAGAGGGGCTCAGACCCTCCAACAAGAGAAGGTTGATTTTCCTTTTCACTGTACTTATAGTAGGTAAGTGATAGTACCTGTCAGCTAAATAACTCCTAGTGCTTGCATAACAGATGAAACTTAAAGATAGCAAGTGCTAGTGATGCTTAGTTGGTGGTCTTAATATTTGGTATCCCTATTATTGTTAGGTTTTCTTTATATTTTGATGATGGTTTAAAACCATGATTCAAAAGAATTTAATCTATTTTTGTGCTAAGTGTCCAAGAAAGTTAATTCAAGGATTCTAATCTTTCCCCACGATTAGAATTGAATCATATCCTCCTTGTTTAGAGTTTTGGGTTTGAAGCAATTATATTTGATTTCAAAGCAATCCCGAACTTCTTTTTTCTAAAAATGGTTCAAACCATTATTTCTGGCTTCAAAGCAAAAATTCTGGAAGGGTAAATTTTGACAGCTCAACTATCCGTTTATTCTTAATGGGTTATAGGGGATCCAAATGTCTTAGCAATCTCCAAGACAAGTCAGAAAAAATAGGTGGAACCTAATTGGGGCAATTGTGAAGTGGCTTTGAAAGGCTAAATGGGCTTTAATTGCAAGGCTCCTAACCAACTATTAAAAGGACGTTAAAAATCAGATCTATTGGGGTGAAGAAAGATGAATTGCTCCAACAATACAAAAAAACAGAGTTTTGTTTTTGAAAGTGTTTTGGATCTCCTTCTTCTTCTCTTCTTGTGAGCTTTTGGGTTAATTGTCTTACAAGGGTTTTGTATTCTTCTTGGATTGGGATAATCCTTGAAGGGGTTGAGTGAGTTACGATTCACTTGTGAGGGTTTAATCTTGCACTCGCAAGCAAGAGTTTGTTTCGATTTAATCTTGCACTCGTAAGCAAGAGATTTCTAGTGGATTAAACTCTCGAGCAAGGAGGTTTGGGGAGTGGACGTACTCTGGGTTGGAGGAACCACTATAAATCACAACTTGATATTCTCTTCCTTCTCTTTTATTTTTCTGCACTATATTACTCTTGTTTATTCTGCACAACAGCTTATATATATTGAAAACTTCATTCACGTTTTTATAAAGGAAATGAAATGAGTTTTATATCTTAGGAATTGAGGGGTAGTTAGCTAGGATTACAATTGGTATCAGAGCAGGTTCTCTTAGAAATAGATTTAACAATCTTGAGTAGATCCATGGCTTTCCAAGCTCATTTTATTGAAGGTCATTCAATCACTAGGCCACCTTATTTTAATGGAACAAATTACCAATATTGGAAAAATAGGATACAAATTTGGTTAGAAGCAAATAGCTATGAGATGTGGGATTGTATTGATAGAGGACCATATAAAATCTTAGTTAGTGACAAGGATAACCAACTTGTTCCTATGGATCCTGCATCATATGATTAAGCTGAAAAAAAGAAACTACAAATAAATGCTCAAGCTAAAAATGCATTATTTTGTGCTTTACATCCTAGTGAATATGATAGAATTAGTGCATGTGATTCTGCTAAGGAAATGTGGGATAAATTATAAGTGGCTCATGAAGGAACTAATGAAGTCAAGAAATCAAAAATTAACATGTTGGTTCAAAAATATGAGCTGTTCAAAATGAAATCAGATGAAGATATGAAAGACATGTTTACTCGTTTTACCAAAATCACTAATGAATTAAAGCTTTTTGATAGGGTGCTTCCTGAGGAAGATAAGGTCAGAAAAATTCTTCGCTTATTGCCAAAATCCTGGAGTTCAATCAAGACGACAATAAAAGAAGCTCATGATTTAAGTGCCATGACTGTTGAGATGCTGCAAGGGAAGCTTCTTACACATGAAATGGCCATGAAAAATGATGAAAGTGATGATGATTCTCGGAAGAAGAAATCTGTAGCTTTCAAAAGCTCCTCCAAAGATGAAAGTGACAATGATGAAAAGGATGATGAAGAATTTATAGTGCTTGCTCGAAAGTGTAAGAGTTTCCTAAGGAAAGACAAGTTGAAGAATCAAGGACAACAAAAGAAAAATTACAAAAGTAGTAAAGGAAAGGGAGAAAGTAGTAAAAAGGATGAAATTATCTGCTATGAATGCAAGAAGGCTGGACATATTAAATCTGAGTGTCCAAACAATGATGAAAAAAGTCTAAAAGCCAAAAAGAAAAAGAAGGCAATGGTTGCCACATGGAGTTGCAGTGAGGACTCATCTTCTAGTAAAGAAGTAAGTGACATGGAAGCTCATTTTTGTCTCATGGCAAATGATGACACAGATGAGGTAAATTCCATTTCTTCTTTTATTTTTGATCATGCTAGTGATGATGAAATGCCATATGAAATTTTGCAAGATGCATTTAGTGAATTATATGAGCATACTAAACAAATTAGTGCAAAAAATGCATCTTTAAAAAGGAAAATTTTGTCACTTAGAAAAGAAAACAGTGATTTGAAAGAATCTTTAAATGAGGAATAGATAATTAGTCACAATATGGAAACTTACTTGGAAAAGTCAACAATTGCATTTAGAAATTGCAAACAAAAGCTGATTGAAGAGTATGATTTGCTGGTAGATGAATTAAAAAGGAAAATAAGCCATCTTGAATGTTCTCTGAACAGTTTTGTGAAAGGCAAAGGTAAATTAGACAACATTTTAAGTTCACAAAGATTTCCTCATAATAGAGCTGGACCTTCTTTTGAATTATCTAAGTCTTCCTTATCTAAATCTACTATTTTTATGAATTGTAATACTTTGCATTCTTATGACATAGTAGAAGCATGAAGTTCTAGAGATAATCATGTTCATTATGGTATCATTTGTCATTATTGTTTAAAAAGGGGACACTATATTCATCAGTGCTATACTAGAAAGAATTTCTTTAAGATGAATTTAAAGTGGGTTCCTAAGAAAATTTCTACTTGTTCGACTAACTTAAATGGACCCAAGAAAGTTTGGGCACCAAAATCTAGTGCTTAAGTTGTGTTTTCAAGGAAGCTCGAAGGAAAATTTGGAAAAAAATGTTTATTATGTAAAAGGTCTCAAGCATAATTTGATTTGTATAAGTCAACAATGTGATAGGGGACACGAAATTATTTTTGTGTCAAATGCATGCAAAATGTTAAACATTCATGATAATGAAGTTTTGGTTGTTGGTAAAAAACAAGGGAAATGTTCATCATAGTCACCCAGATGCAATGCTTTGTGCTTACTTTGGTTTATAATGCTTATCATAATTTTAGTATTTTGTACTCTTACAAAGTCTGACTTTTGTGTACTGCTTATTTGTATGTTTGAACCCTATGCTATGCATTGTGCTAATGTGCAAATTTCTTTTTGCTAATGATAAAAAGGGGCAGAGGAACTTAAATGAAAACTATCCTTATTATCTGTTTGTGCAATTCCTGTTGAAACTTGGAAGCATATTTTGAGGGGGAGCTTACACTTATTATCTTTATTATTTTAAGGAATGGTTTTATCATCATCAAAAAGGGGGAGATTGTTAGGTTCTCTTTGTATTTTGATGATGGTTTAAAACCATGATTCAAAAGTATTTAATCTATTTTTGTGCTAAGTGTGCAGGAAAGTTAATTCAAGGATTCTAATATTTCCCCACGATTAGAATTGAATCATATCCTCCTTGTTTAGAGTTCTGGGTTCAAACCAATTATATTTGATTCGAACCAATCTCAAACTTCTTTTTTCCGGAAATGATTCGAACTATTATTTCTGGCTTCGAAGCAAAAATTTTGGAAGGGTAAATTTTGACAGCTCAACTATCCGTTTATTCTTAATGGGTCATAGGTGATCCAAATGTCTTAGCAATCTCCAAGACAAGTCAGAAGAAATAGGTGGAACCTAATTGGGGCAATTGTGAGGTGGCTTTGAAAGGCTAAATGGGCTTTAATTGCAAGGCTCCTAACCAACTATTAAAAAGACATCAAAATTCAGGTCTGCTGAGGTGAAGAAAGATGAACTGTTCCAGCAATACAGAAAAACAGAGTTTGTTTTTGAAAGTGTTCTAAATTTCCTTCTTCTTCTCTTTTTGTGAGCTTTTGGGTTAATTGTCTTACAAGGGTTTTGTTTCTTCTTGGATTGGAATAATCCTTGAAGGGGTTGAGTGAGTTGAGATTCACTTGTGAGGGTTTAATCTTGCACCAAGCAAGAGTTTGTTCTAGTTTAATCTTGCACCCGTAAGCAAAAGATTTCTAATGGATTGAACTCTCGAGCAAGGAGGCTTAGGGAGTGGACGTACTTTGGGTTGGAAAAACCACTATAAATCACGGCTTGATATTCTCTTTCCTCTCTTTTATTTTTTTGCACTATATTACTCTTGTTTATTCTGCACAACAGCTTATATATATTGAAAACTTCATTCACTTCACATTTTTATAAAGGAAATGAAATGAATTTTATATCTTAGGAATTGAGGGGTAGTTAGCTGGGATTACAATTATTGCCCCTATAGCGACCGCAGTGTGATCACTGGTGCTTGGGGGCCTCTTGTTCATCATTGACTAATTTGTTTACAAATATTTACTGCTTAATACTAAAATTTTTTTTCTGGTATTAACCTCCTAGTATATAGTAATCACATTGGATCCCAACTAATTCAGGATCGAGCCGCGTCGGACTCCATTAGGGGGAAAGCTCTCCTAACGCCTGTTTCTCCATTCACAATACTCAAACTTGAGATCTTGCTTAAGGAGAACCGAGCTCCTTCCACTCGGACCAACAAGTCATTGGTTACTACCTAATACTAAAATGCTACAAGTATATAGCTCGTGCTACCCCGATTTAGCCGCTACTCAAGGATTATGGCTATTTGTAAGCTCTACATTCTATCTGCTAATGAAATCACATGATTTCCTATAAAAAAAAAGGGGCCACGGTATTTTCCTTCCTTCAATCTCCATCATATTCTTGACAAAAAGAAATTTGATTCAACGTTCTGAATGCAATGTGAAGATTAGGTATTAATTATAGGGTGTAATATGTTGCCGTTTAAATTATATTAGATTATAAAATACTAAATATTAGACTATAAAATACTAATTATTAGAGATGGAGGAACCATCTCACAATATCAAGAGTCCCTTCTACTCTAATAATTAATATTTTGTAATTTTTTTTAACAAATTGAAATTATTTAGATATTAATTGGGGGAAGGGGAAAGAGGTTCTGTAGAGTTCAAACACGTGACTCACAGGAGCTGAACGATCCTAATCCAAGGTCTATGCCATTGGGCCAGAGCTGGCCATTCAATATTTTGTAATTTAATGCATTCTAAACTATAAAATATTTAAATTAATTATATGCAATATAAAATGAGAAAACCAAAAAGAAGAAATCATTAGTTGGTCTGGTGATTAAGATGGAGGCCTAGTCTCCTTAGATATAATTTCATTTGAATTTGTTGAACTGCATATTATAGAGGACATCATGATTCTATTTGACATATTTAAAGTTTGTATTGAAAGCACTACTAGAGCAAAGTTTTTGAAGAATATAAATAACTTGATTTTAATACAATTTTTTTAAATTTTAAAACTTTGTTTTATAAACTAAAAATTTCAAAATTATATCTTCACTTTTGAGCTTTCTAGTAGCAAAACCTTTTCTTAAAAAAAAAAAAAATTGTACAAGATAAGATAACTCTTATTTTCATTAAAAAGAAATTATTATTAAATTATTTAGATTATTCAAAGTAAAATCATTTTTAGAAAAATAAAGTGATAAATACTATTAAAAAATTTTGTTTGTTTATTTTTTGTTTTTTCTATTTAGACTGGCTTAATTTAATTTTTAGTCTATTAACTATCACCTTGATTTCATTTTAGTCTAGAATCTATGTTTTATTTCTAAGTGGTCTATTAACTTTCAGATTCATTTCAATTTCATCTACTTGGTCAAAGATAACGGAAAACTTCCTATTCAGTTAGAGAACAGTTAGTCCTCTGACTATATTTTTTTGATCTTTTAATATTTAAATTTATATTTGTTATAAAAATAACTTTTTTACTTAAAATTATTATTTATAGGTTCTGATACCAGATTTTTATACGGGTTTTCCTATTTCTTTAATTTAGTATCAAAGCCTGAAAGTTAATAGACCACTTAGAAATAATAATTTTAAGTATAAAAATCTAGTATCAGAGCCTAAAAATAATAATTTTAAGTATAAAAGTTATTTTTATAACAAATATAAATTTGAGGACTAAAAGATTAAAAAAATATAGTTAGAGGACTAACTGTTCTCTAACAGAATAAAAAGTTT